CAATTTAACAAGTACAATTATAAACGATCTGAGACTGTTGCTCAGTGGTAGAGCACTTGCCTACAATGTCTGAGGCCCTGAGTTCCATCCCAGCACTGCAAAAAATAAACAAAAAAACCAAACAGAAAAGAGAGAAAAGTGAAATTAAAACAAGTACATTGTCCCAGCACTGGGGAGGCTGAGGCAGGAGGATCACCATGAGTTCGAGGCCAGACTGGGCTACACAGTAAGTTCAAGATCAGCCTGAACTACACAATGAGAGCCTGTGTCAAAAAAAAAAATACATTGTCCAGTGCCACATGGGGCAGAGGGTAGGGCTGAAGCATGAGTCTCCGGGCTGCTGTGAGCGGTCTTTCCCCTGGAGCCTGTCTGTGTTACAGGAGGACGGAGCGGCCCCAGGTCATCTTGAGCAGGTGAAGGGTGGCCAGGGATGGTGGCTGAGAGTGTACAAGAGCACAAACCAGGAGAAGAGGGAAGAGGTGAGCCCCAGCGCAGGAGGTCTGGGTGAGGCTGCAGGGGCTGCCCTGGCACCAAGGGTTGGGGTGTAGCTGGCTGGAGACCACACCCCTTCCCCAGAGGCGGAGAACTGAGGCTTACTGGCTCTGCCGCACTCTCAGGGCTTCACCTCCAGCGCCAGCGCTCAGTCAGCCGATCAACTGATCGCACTCAGGCCCCCACCGAGCCGGACCCCTCTCAGGCCCCGAAAACTGCGAAGGGACAGGGCTCTGTGACGCCCACTCCTCAGCGCCGGCCGGTCGGCACTCGGAGGGGGAAGAGAGGAGTGCCAGAGAGAAGCAGAAGGTGGGGGCGGGACCTGCACAAGCCCCAGGGCACTGGTTGAGCGGGCGAGTTCCTCTCCCATTCTAGGCTGGACACAGGCCCTGGTGAATTGAGTCACTCAGTCAGTCAACAAGCATCCTTTGAACACTGGCGGGCTGCCAGGCTTTGGGGATTACAAGACAAACATGACACCTTTGGGGCCACCCGGAATGGGGTTAAGAGCGTGGGCAGCTCCTCAGTTCTGCCACTTGTCTTGTGACCTTAGGAAGCCACCTAATCTCCGCGCCAGTTTCTTCATCTGGCAAACGGACGCCAACAATGGACCTACCTAGGGCTAAGCACAACAGACACAGCTGCTGCTAGCGCTGCTTTTCTTGCCCTCCAACATCCCCAACCTGGTGGGGAGACTGCGCGGGCGGATGGCGCTGGGGGGGGGCTGCTCTGTGCCAGGCGCTGTGCCGCTCACTGGGGACACGGAGAAGAACAGGACACATTGTCCCTGCTCCTCCCCGCCCTCCCTCCCGGCTCAGGGCCCGGTCCCAAGACCCAGCTCCGAGGCAACCAGGGAGGACGAGGCACGGCCTGGGAGCCCAGGAGGTAGGGACCGTGGTTCCAGCCGGCGGAGGGGCACCGTGCTGCCCAAGGGGCAGCTGGACAGGACGGCCCTTCGTCCTGTGCCCCAACAGGTGGTAAAGACACCCCAACCCCCAAAGGGCTTTATACTCACCCAAGTCCCTGCCAAGGCCACCCCAGCCCAGCCCAGTGAGGTAGTGAGGGGGGCGCTGCCTGGTGCAGACTGGCACTACCCTGCTGATGGGCTGGCACCGCCTCACAAGTAACGGGGGCCTGGATGTGAAGGGCGGTTGTTTGAAGGGGTGGGGGTGCTCGGCGAAGGCACCGCCGGCTCCTGCCGGCCCTATTCACAGCACTCTCTGGGGACAGAACGAGCCAGATAATTAAAGCCGGGCTTTGTCCAAACCCCTGACCAAGCCAATACCTCACCTTTGAGCCCTGCAGCCGGCAGGGCCGCAGCCCAGCGCTGTGGGCGGCACCAGCAGGACAGAGGCTGGAGGGGTAATGGGTACACCCTCCAGTGACGACGGGGGATACCTGAGCCTTCGCCACCCCCGAAGACAAGTAGAAAAAAGGACAAGTGATCAAGCCAAACACAGAGGCGCACACCTGTAATCCCCAGCAGTCAGGAGGCTGAGGCAGGAGGATCAACACAAGCTCAAGACCAGCCTGGACTACCAAGCGAGACCTTGTCTCCAAACAAACAAGTGACCAAGCTTCAGTCCAGCACGAGATGGCTGGGTCTGGGGCTGTGCCCTGAGAAGCCTGACAGCAAGGACAGGAGCAGGACTGAGTCAATGGCCGTGTGATTTAGACCAGGCTCTCAGCTCTCTGTGGCTCAGTGTCCTCAACTATGAAACAGGGACAATAACGGTGTCCACTTCGTGGTGCTGTTGTGAGGACTGAATGGGGTGACCTCTAACCCTGGCCCAGAGGAACCGCTATCTCTGTTTTAGTGACCAGCTATACTGTTAAAGCAAACCCATCCTTTAAAACCCTAGTTTCCTCATTTGCATATATTTGCATGCTGGGAGTATCTCTAATTTCTACACCAGAGTCAGACATCACAGGAATGCCCCTGGCTGGCCCACTCCTGCAGGACACACCCCTGCACAATGCCCCAGGCCAGCCCGGGACTCCTGTAGCTCACAGGCCTCTCCCCGGAAGTTCTCCCAGATGTCTAGCTGCCATTCCTCCTGCTGCAGCTCATCCATCTCTTGCTGTGCAGCCTCCCCTTCAAGTCCTCCTAGGAATCCCTATGATGAGGGATGAGGCAATCCGGGGCCAGCCGTGCACGTGCTGCCCCATAACCAGCACCGCCCCTACCCTACCCCTCTATGCAAGAATGCTCTCCCACCAGTGAGAGTTCAGGGCTGGCTTGAGGAGGGGGACACAGAAGGCCCCCACCCAGGTGCCCATGCACAGGGCCTGCACCCCAGGTTCCTCTGCCTGAGCCTGTCCCATGCCCCAGGGCATCCAAAGGTCACCTTCCCTCCAAACTTTATGCTGGGCCCTGACGACCTTCAATGTCACTATGGGATGCAAAGCCAGGGATGGTGGCACACACCTGCCATCCCAAGGACTTGGGAAGCTGAGGCAGGAGGATCACAATTTTGAGGCCAGACTGGGCAACTGGGCAAGACCCATCCCGGAATAAAATATAAAAGCAGACTGGGCAAGTAGCTCAGTGGTTGAGCTCTTGCCTGTGCACAGTCTGGGTTCAACTTTCTGTGCCAACACAAATAGAATAAATTTTTTAAAATAATAAAACAGGGGGCCGGGGATATAGCTCAGCGGCACAAGCGCCTGCCTGGCAAGCGCAAAGTTCTGAGTTCAATTCCCAGTACCAAAAAAAAAAAAGCCCAGCCTGGGCAATTTAGCAAAAATAATAAAATGGAAAAATAATAATAGTAATAAAACAGGGTGCTAACAACTACCCTACCCACTCCCTGAGAGGTTTTTTGGGTTTTTTTTTGGTTTTTCTCCGGTACCGAGAACCAAACTCACAACCTTGCGCTTGCCAGGCAGGCGCTTTGCCTCTGAGCTAAATCCCCAGCCCCACCCTGAGAATTTTGAGACAGTCAAATCCCGCCCTGAGTGTAGGGAATCTACTGATCACATCGCTCCCAAGAAGGGACCGCCTGGGACACAGGACCTTAGAGCTCCTGCCACCCTGGGTGGACCCAGTCACACTGTGGAGGAGGGAAGACTCAGCCAGGGCCAGGGTGGGGGGCCTCTAGGCCTGGTCTGAGGACCAAATGACCGGTTATATAATAGCGATTCACCTCGCATGCCAATGAGCGCATCCAGGCCGGCCACTTTTGAGACTGGGGCTTCTGCCCTGGCAGAGGAGCAGGACCACGTGAGATCAAAAGCCAGCCACCCCACGCTGGGCCACGGGGTGGGGGTGGAGGCGGTGAGGGGACAGAGATGAAGTATGTGTTGTTGGAGGAGGGGGAATCCAAGGGACTCATGCTTAATGACCACCACCCCCGCCCCCTGTCCAGCCTGAATTTCAAGTTCATAATTAGGAAACACTGGCAGAAGGGAGGGGGAGAGGCAGACAGCGAAGGAGAACCGAGGCAGTTAACGCGGCGCGCACACACACCAGTGCCGGGAAGAGTTTGCAAAGCGCAGCTCCCAGGGCCACCACGGAGGGCTGCAGAGCTGGGTCCCCAACCCTTCCGCTCTGTCCCACCAGGACGAGGGGCAGGGAACCTCTTTCCCAGCTCGGGAAAGTTACCGGGCCCTTCACCCTGAGACGGGCAGTGTGCCCGGTGTTTCAGCGGCCCTGGAGGCCAGGCTCAGAAGCAGGGGACTGGCCTTGACGGGGACGTGGGACTGAGAGGCCCCCGCCAGCCCCTCCCCAGCCTCAGCAGCTGGCAGATGAAAGGGCCCAAGCAAAGCAGCCAGCGCTGAGTAATGCCCCTGGCACCCCGCGCCCTGACCCACCCACAGCCAGGCGGAGGGGCCGGAGAGAGGGCAGCCGCCTGCGGGGCTGGGGTCCCCGGGGTGTGCGGACGACACCCAGCCCAGAGGCCGTGGCGCCGTCCGATCCCGGGGCCGAGGCGGGAGGGCTGCGGGGCGCTGGGCCAGGACACCCCGCTCGGAGCCCGCCC